CCACAGGCATTCTGTGGGTGTGATCAGCTCCACTCTCACCTTTATTCCTTCTGGGAACTTGGGTGATAACTTCCTTTTATTCTCTATCTTTGCTGTTTGGAAAAATTTTATGAAAATATGAGTATGCTCTCATTAGGTCTTCTCTCTTTCTTGTGGGCTAATAATAGGCATTTGAGAAGAAGACAAATAAGCTAATATGTTCAGTCTTCTATTTTTAATTGATTCTGGTGTGCATTTTTCTAATCAAAATATTACAAGATTTTTCTCATTTAGTTTTTCATTTTATTTGAAAGGCAGAGAGAGGGCTAGCACTGTGGTGTAGCAGGTAAAGCCGTCGCCTGCAGTGCCGGCATCCCATATGGGTGTTGGTTCGAGACTTGGCTGCTTAACTTCCAATCCAGCTCTCTGCTGTGGCCTGGGAAAGCAGTAGAAGATGGCCCAAGTCCCTGGGCCCCTGCACCAATGTGGGAGACTCAGAAGAAGCTCCTGGCTCCTGGCTTCGGATTGGTGCAGCTCTGGCCATTGCAGCCATCTGGGGAGTGAACCAATGGCTGGAAGACCGACCCCCCCCCCCCCCCCGTCTCTCCTTCTCTCTCTGTGTAACTATTTCAAATACATAAATAAATCTTAAAAAAAAAAAAAAAGAAGAAAAGAAAGGCAGAAGGAAAAAGAGAGCGAGAAAGAGATCATCCTTTGGTTACAACAGCCATGACAGGCCAGGCCAAAGCCAAGAGCCTGGAGTTACATCTGAGTTTCCCATGTGGTTGGCAGGGACTCAAGTACTTGAACCATCACCTACTGCCTCCCAGGGTATACCTGAGCAGGAAACTGGATCAGAAGGCGATGAGTTGGGAATCAAATCAGTCATTCCCACCTGGGCTACAGGAGTCCCAAGTAGCATCTTAACCACTGTGCCAAATGCTGCCTCTATAAAGTTCAGTTAGATGCTGAATGGTACCATCAGTTATTTTTTGTGTGTGTTTTGTCATAGATTAAGAAGATTTTTAATGGGCTGACCTGGAAACCTAACTACATCTAGGATTTTTCCCTAGAACCAGAGTTACAGTCAGGCCTTTCTAAGTAGACTGTCTGGAGCAATGTGATAGGTTAGAACAAAAATATTTTATACATCTCTCCATTTTTGAATCACAAAGAAGTTACTATAAATATTTTATCAGTGTTGAAATAAAAGAATGCAACAACTAATGGAAACTTGAATTTTGGGGGTACAGTTTATAAAATTAAGCTATGAAAATTGGATATAGTAAAGCAAACAGTCAACAGAGTGAAGAGAAAGCCTACAGAATGGAAGAAAATATTTGCAAATTCACTATCTGGCAAGGGACTGATACCCAAAATATATAAGGAACTCAAATAGCACAATAGTAACAAAACAAATAATCTAGTTAAAAATTGGACAATAGGTCTGAATAGACATTTCTCCAGAAAAGACATACAGATAGCCAACAAGTGTAAGAAAACATTCTCAGCATCAGTATTCATCAGGGAAATGTAAATCAGAACCACAATGAGATAGTACTTCACTCCAGTTATATGACTATTATCAGAAAGACAAGATAACAAGTGCTGGTGAGGATGTGGAGAAAAGGGAATCCTTGCACAAGTGTTGATGGGAATTTAAATTAGTATAGCTATTATGGAAAACAGTTTGGAGCTTCCTGAAAACATTAAAAATAAAACTACCGTGTAATCCAGCAATTCCACTTCTGGGTTTATATCCAAGGGAAATCAGATCAGTATTTTGAAGAGTACTGTGCATTTTCATTTTTGTTGCAGTAATATTCACAATAGCAAGCAATGCCATTTGTTGGTGAATAAGTAAAGAAAATGTTGTACATATGTACAATGGAGTACTATTCAGCCATTAAAAGGATGGAATCCTGTCATTTACAACAATATGGAAGAAAATGGAGGTCATTCATTATGTTAAATGAAATAGGCAGGCACAGAAAGACAAATATTACTTGACTTCATAATGTAGAACCTAAAAAAGCTGATTTCATAAAAGTCAAACTTAGAATAGTGATTACTGAGGCAGGGGGAGAGTAGGAGGGAGGAAGGGATAGGGAAAGGCTTATCAGAGGGTATTAAGTAATAGAAGAAATAAATTATGGTGTGACTGTAGAGAATTTACTATATATTTCAAAAAAAGCTAGAAGGATTTCAAATGTTTTCACAGAGAATAATAGATGTTGGAGGAGATAGGTTTATTTACCTTGATTTGGACATTACACAATGTATATACATATATATTACATGGGACTCCATAATATTTACAATTTTTTATGTCAAAAAATAAATAAAAATTGAACTCAGAAGCAAAATTAAATTCTTAAGTTAATAATCCCTAAGGCTGCATTTTGCAGCAATATTTTGGAAAACTGTTTTCTTTATTAAATTTAAACCTAGTGATAGTGATAGCTGTGGGAAATAGTAATGGCCATGGGAATAGTTCATTTAATTTTTCTTTTCTTTCTGGTTTCTCATTCCTACTTTGGACATAACAGAATCGTCTGAAAGATTGGACTGAATAAACTAATCTTTGCCTGATGGACCCATAAAGCAGTGTTCCCCTAACACGAGTGGCCAAGGTTAACCATACAGAGCCCATGGGCAGTAAAAATGCAGCCCAAAATATGTGCACGACAGTGAACACTGCAATACTTGGCATTAGACCCGCAGAGACCACTGCTCGCGTGATCGATGCACTGTGTGGTGCGGCTGTGTTTTCCACGCTTGGCCAGGGCCAGTGGGGCTCTCTTCCAGAGGATTGCCCCTGTTGTGCTGGAGCAGTCTTCCATGAGCACTTGCTCCCCACTGGCTGCTTCGTCCCAGTCTTAAGGGTTCAGAGATGATTAGGAAAACCAGACTGGAACAAGGTAAGGGCAATGAAATGCAGTCGTCCCATTATTTTCCTTCCTTTTATTTTTCTTCTTCTTCCTCTTTTTATTATTAGTAACCTCTCCCTGGACCCACCCTAGCCTTGCTTCTGACAGCATATTGACTGGGAACCAGAAGCCCATTTTCGCTTAGCCTTAAGGGCAGCTGTTTACACAGCAGCAGTGTTACATGGGTTTACTGTGTCGTATGTCTGTGTAACACTGGATTTGGATCTTGTATTTAGCTGCCAGAAGTGACTGTGATGAAGTAGGAGAGATAAACTGATAGATTGGCTGCCAGAAAGATGTGGGGAATCAATCAGATAAACAGGGTAGAGAAATAGCTGGCTGTTTTCTAGTGATAATAAACCAGTGGCCTCTGGTCCTCGTGTTTATAAATGTAATCGCTGTGCTAATAATGTACAAAATAAGCAAAAGAAAAAACAGCTCAGGTTTTTTTTTTATAAGTTGTGATTGAGATATATGTTTCTCTTTTGCAGTAAACATTCATCTTATGGAAGGTAATATTTTTATAAAATTTTTTACATCATCCAAGACCTCCTTATGGAAATGAATGAAAATTAGAAAGTGAACTACTTTCATAGGAATGTAATCCTCCTTCTACATATTCCTAAGGCCTTAGCTGTTTAACTTGGTGAAATATCCATATCACTACCATACCCACCTACAAAGTAATTGCTTATTTTTTGTGAAGAAATGAATTTTAGAGTCAAATTTGTATTATCGATGGATGCTTAGCAGGGCCACGTGTATTTTAGCATCTTGCCTTAGATTTTGCTCAGAGCTTTGGAATTTTAGTCTCTGTTGCTGTTTGTCTGCATATAGGTCTTGTGTAGGAGAGATACTGAGTTTGACTACTATAATTAAAATTTTCCGTCCTTTAATGTTTAACTTTAAAATCCATTGCTTCTCTTCACCTAAAACTTCAAGCTCCAGTGCAAATTCTGAAGTCTGTGTGAAAGGTGTCGATACAGACTTTGATTGGATGCAGTGGAGTACGCAGGATTAAGAAGAGAGCAGAAGAGTAATATAGAGTCCTGTGGAGTTAATAGAACAGGATGAAAGACCAATTCTCTGTGTTATATTTGCCATACACACAAATGACTTTGTTTAGGTTCCCTCTTAAAAATTTTTGTGACTGTGAATATGTTGATGTCATCTATGGTTAAATCACTTAATAGCAGCTGGTGCCACAGCTCACTTGGCTAATCCTCCGCCTGTGGCACCAGCACACCAGGTTCTAGTCCCGGTTGGGGTGCTGGATTCTGTCCTGGTTGCTCCTTTTCCAGTCCAGCTCTCTGCTGTGGCCCGGGAGTGCAGTGGAGGATGGCCCAAGTGCTTGGGCCCTGCACCCGCTTGGGAGACCAGGAGGAAGCACCTGGCTCCTGGCTTTGCATTGGCGCCGGCCGCAGCGTGCTGGCTGTGGCAGCCATTTGGGGGGGGTGAACCAACGGAAAAAGGAAGACCTTTCTCTCTGTCTCTCTCTCTCACTGTCTAATAACTCTGCCTGTCCAAAAAAAAAAAAAAAATCACTTAATAGCAAGCATGGTTAGAGAAGCAGCTATGCAAATTTAAGAGGATGAAGTCCACACTTTTAATAATACAATAAAGGCTTTTGCCTGTGGAAGAACCCCTGACTGTAAGAGGTTATAGTTCAGAAGGTAGCTATGTACCATTATCCTCTTGGTAAGAAGCTGATGCATTTTCCTTTTGCCACAGAGCCATTCCCACCCGACCTTTTAAAGATTCTCCATTGCTATCGATGGGGTGGACAAAACTAATCATAAAAACAATGAAGGGAATGTTGCACACTCATTGATCCATTTGAAATGAACTGCAGTACAATAAGTCTTCCAAATGGACTTCCATTCTCAGCTACTGCTATAGCTACCTGTTTAAAAATATATAAATATGAAAGGGTTAATGGGAATTCAGTCATGCTCTTGCCACTGGGTTGTCCCTTATTGATTGCAGTTTTAGAGCTGTCACTGTGCCATTCACAATTCCTTCTGTGCCCTTTTAAAGTCGGTTGATGCTGGGAAATGATAAATAAATCAGTTGTATTCCTTTCTCCCCTAGCTCCTACGAGAACTCATAGAACGAAAGACCAGCTCCTTGGATCCCAATGATCAGGTGGCCATGGGAAGGTAATTTTGATTTGGCTTTCTATTCATCTAGGCAGCTTATATATAATAGTTTCTGTGTTTGAATCCCCTTCATATTACTTCCAAGCAATCCTATAATTAAGAAAGAAAAGCAAGATAATAAGAGCTAGAAATATAAAATGAATCTCTTTTTTTTGTCCTGTATTGCCCTAGTGCAGTTTGAAAAGAGATTGTCAAACACTATGTGTTTTAGGGTTTGCTTTTTGAAGAAGTCCTTTGCTCTCTGGTTTAAGTTGTGATTGTATCCATATCAATCTGCTGACCGGTGGATAAAAAGCAGCCACCCAAACGTGTGCTCTCAGCTGTCAGAACATGGCACTGTGCACAACAGGTTCCTTGCACTGAGTGGAATCTGCTTTGTTAGAGTCTGCCCTAATTTAGACCTCCACCCCTTCAGTAAAAGCTTCAGCACAATTAGAAATGGAACGTGGCAGCATTACCCAGATGTCAGTGTAGAATGTAAAGTAGTGAAGGAAGGCTCTTGTGTGTGTGTTTCATCCTGTGGTTGGAAAATAGAAAGGGCATTTAGAGTGCTACCTAATGAATGGTGTACATTTAAATAGCCATGAGCTGTAATTTGTAAAAGCAGGAAAGGAAACAAAAGCTGCAAGTGCAAGAATAGGATTCTGGGCAGAGCAGCCTTTTGAGGAAGCAATGAAATATTTGTGTTGATGAAATCATTTTGTTTGAAATAGTATTTGAATTTTTGGATAGGATATTGTTGATATTTTGTTTGTCTCAGGAATGTTAGAACAGTTCTCAGTAAATTTAATGTGATAGAGCAAATTGCATTTAAGTGGTGATTATATTGTGCATTTATCTGACTTTACAATAAAATAGATTATGGTAATTAAGATTATATTAAGATTACAGTAATTGGATTTCCTTTTTTTTTTTTTTTTTTTTGCTGTTGAGTTTTCCTTGTATAAGTCAGGTAAGATGACAGTTATGGCTGCTGTTTCTCCTTTTTTCACATTTGTCATCTAAACAGTTTATGAAGACTTTTTTAGCCCAGTATCTTTATTTTGAAAAATTAATCTTTTCATATCTTAACTGATTGCCGAATATGTGAGTCTGTAACTGTAAACCTTAAAATTAAGACATTTTGGGAAATTTGAAATTTGAATGTTTGATAGTAAAGAATTATTGTTACCTTTTTAGTGGGGTAATGGTATTGAGATGATTTTGGGAGGGAGGGGAAGAATCCTAATCTTTTGGCAAGACTTACTGAAATGTTTATAGATGAGGTGAAAATGACTATAAAACTAGTATTGGCAGTTAGCAAAAATTGGAAAGCAGTTGGGATTAGCAAGGGCAAAATTATTTTTAAAGAATTCATGCATTCAAACCAACAGTGGTTGCGGTGAATGAGACAACATGCTGTATAACTAAAACATTAAGAAAACCTCAGCAGCTCTACTCAGCTTGATAGGTTTTCCTGCAGACTGGTAGATTTAGTGCTTGTCACAGCAACTGCAAATACTGAGAAGCATTGTTAACCAAATTTGCTATAGAATTTCCCTGCTGCCATTTTTTTTGCCATTGCACAAATCCTCTTCAATTGATTAGTCACTTTGAACCCAGACTATCTTAAACAACTTGATGTAGGTTGATGATTTCTTTCTGCAGGGTTGTTAGTGAGAAAAATTCGAATTTGTCAACATATTTGTATAACTGTTGCTGTTAGTGATGATGCATAACATTGCTTGTGAATTTCCCAGGCAGTGGCTTGCCATCCAGAAGTTACGAAGCAAAATCCACAAGAAAGTGGATAGGAAAGCTAGCAAAGGAAGGAAACTTCGGTAAGTTATATTTTGGAAAAAAAATTAGTTTATTATGCTGTATCTTTTTTTTTGCATTTTGCTGATATGTCATTTTTTTCTGTTTCTTCATATGTGTCTGATACTAAGGATCAAAAAATAACCAGAACAATTTGAGAATTTTTGATGGCTCACTTTTCCTTACTCTAAAATGGAGACATAGTTTCATTGACTCTTCTACTATTGTGAATAGGTGGTTGAAAAAAAAATCTGCATTTCCCTGAAAGAGAACAAAGGCAAAATAGTTAAAATGATCTTTGTTTTAAAAAATTGTTTCTGTAGAATAATATAAAAATTTTGTTTAAGAGTCTTATGTAGAGTAGAGTTATACTGATCAGTTTTCATGCCATTCATGTACACAGCGTGGTAAAAGATGTAAATGAAGGACTGTAGAGAATGTAGCAGTGTGCTTAAATGAGATGAGAAATATAATCTTCATGAGAAAATAGAGAAATTTCTGACTTCAACTACCCTCTTAGCTCTTTAAGACCTTTTACAAGGATACAGAAAAAGGGAAGAGTGGGAGTAGGAATTGACATTGCTGTACTTTCACATTTGTATTCCTTCTAACTCTGGGTATATATGTGTAACACAGTATCACCACACAAAGCGGAGTGTCAGAAGAGCCGTTTGTAATTCAGGTGCAGACTGAAAAAAAACTTACTTTGTGTTAAGATAGTTTTAGCCTGAGAGCTAATCCCACTTCCTTATTAGAGCTTGCCTGTCATTAAATTCCCTGTAGACAAATGTAGATCTATCCCATTTTAAAAGATCTTTGGAGAAGCAGATTACATTACCACTTTTAACTTGTTTTAGAAGCTAACAAAGCTCATTAGGAAACCCTGGTTTTGTACCTATGTTTCCTCTCAACCCCCAGCTAGTAGCCACTAGTACCTGTATTACATGCAAGAATTGTGCTGCTTTGTTCTTTAAGACAGTTTCAACCTTATTATCTACTGTTTTGCCTTGTAGACATTAATTAAATATAAATGTTTTTATTATAATGGTAGTAAAATTAAAATGCTAGGTAATGAGAAGTGGCTATAACTGTAAATAAAATACATATTGAGAAATCTGATGTAGGGACTGGTGCTGTGATACAGTGACTTAAGCCTCTGCCTGCATTGCTGGCATCCTGTGGAGTGCTGGTTCAGATTCTGGCTACTCAACTTCTGATCCAGCTCCCTGCTAATGTGCCTGAGAAAGCAGTGGAAAGTAGTAGCCCACATCCTTGGGCTCCTGAACCCACATGGGAGACCCAGATGGAGATCCAGGTTTCTGGCTTTGGCTAGTGCTGCCATTTGGGGAGTGAACCAGTAGATGGAATATTTCCCTGTCTCTTTCTCTCTATATCAAATAAGTATCTATTTCAAATAAATAAAATAAATATATAAAAAAGGAAATCTCATAGGGCAGGTGTTGTGGCACAGTGCATGAAGCTGCTGCTTCCCATGCTGGCATTCCATATCAGAACACCAGTTGGAGTCCTGGCTGCTCCACTTGTGACCCAGCTTCCTGCTAAGGCCTCTAGAAAGGCAGCAGAAGATGGCCCAAGAGCATAGCCCTCACCCCCACCGGTGTTGGAGTCCGTGATAGAGTTCCTGGCCCCTGGCTCAACTTGGCTTAGCCTAGACTCTTGTGGCTGTCTGGGGAATGAACAGATGGAAGAACTCTCTCCTCCTTCTCTGTCTTCCCTTTCACTGATGCTCTGCCCTTCAAATAAATAAATCTTTAAAAACAAAAATACAAATGAGTGTTGGAAAAGTAAGCACTTTTCTAGTGAGGCATGTAGCTTAGGAAAATGTGAGTGTACTGTTTGCCAAATGAAAATAAAGTTACAGAATTCTCATTTATCATATTAGAAAAAAGAATAGGCTTAGTAGTTTTATTTTTTTTATTTGAGAAGCAGAGAAGAAAAGAGAGTGAGAGAGTTCCCATCCTCTGGTTCATTCCGCCAGTGCCCACAACAGGCTGGAGTCCAAAGCTGAAGCTAGAAACTTAATCCATGTCTCCTATATGGGTGCCAGAATCCTAACCACTTTTGCTAGCATCACTGCTTCCCATGGACAGCATTAGCAAGAAGCTGAAATCAGGAGCCAAAGCTGGGAATCACATCCATCCAAGCATTCCTCCGTGTTACAGGAGCATCCTGACCGGTGTTTTAACCACTAGGCTAAGCACTACCCCAAAATGGGATTTTTGTTTTCATTGCACTTGTTTTTACTTTAGGTTAACCTTTTAAAACTGTTCATTAGAGGCATGTGTTGATGTGCTATGTACCTTTGTTTTTGCATCATTGTCATAATGGTTGACATCCCCAAATGCCCTTCTATCCAGAGACATTAAAAATCCTATTCTGGGACAAGTTTTTCAAGTGGAATAGGAAGGGAGCTTTCTGCTCTAGTCTAGGGTGAATAGTTATAAAAAAATGGATAGAGTGCAATCTCAGGGAAGGATTAGGAAGAAAATAGCAGAAGAAACTCCACACAAGTTGGAGGGACATTGTGGACTTATGTGGGGGGTATGGATGCACACAGCTTGGGACCCCAGTAACCAAGAGCCTCAGCACCAGCTTTGGAGTAAGATAAGACCAGACTGCAAGCAGCCCAAGCCACTGGCGATTAAGCTGCAGGAAGAGTCAGGGTTGGGCCTGGCTTGGAGCCTTATGGGGGACAGTGTACCTGCCAACCTAGAGGGTAAAAAAGGAGGCACATTTCTCTCTCCCTGACCTCCTGGCACCTGTACTTTTGAAGAGTCTCTCCTCTCTCTGTGTAACTCAGACTTTCATAATACATAAATCTTTAACAAAAAATAAATAAATAAATAAATAAAAGGCCGGTGCTGCGGCTCATTTGGCTAATCCTCCACCTGTGGCACCGGCACCCCAGGTTCTAGTCCTGGTTGGGGCGCCGGATTCTGTCCCGGTTGCTCCTCCTCCAGTCCAGCTCTCTGCTGTGGCCCGGGAGTGCAGTGGAGGATGGCCCAAGTGCTTGGGCCCTGCACCTGCGTGGGAGACCAGGAGAAGCACCTGGCTCCTGGCTTCTGATCAGCGCAGTGCACCGGCTGCGGTGCGCCAGCCGCAGCAGCCATTTGGGGGGTGAACCAACGGAAAAAGGAAGACCTTTCTCTCTGTCTCTTTCTCTCACTGTCCACTCTGCCTGTCAAAAAAATAAAAAATAAATAAAATAAATAAAAAGATTTGAGAGCGTGTACTAGCAAATGAGAGAGTGTTTTCATTTGCTGATTCACTCCCCAAATGGCCACAACTACCAGGGCTGGACCAGAACCAAAAAACAGAGCCAGGAACTCAATTAAGGTCTCCCAACTGCTTGATCCATCATTACCTGCTGCCTCCCAGGGTGTGCAGGAAGTTGGAGCCAAGAGCTGGAGCTGGGTTTCAAACCCAGATACTCTGATGTAGGTGTCTTAACTGCCTGATTCTTGAGTTGTTTCACCAGAAGGACCAAATGGCTTATGCAGACACCAAAATGACCTTTTGCATACATTACCATCATAGCATAAAGGATTAGCCTGGTGGCCAAGGCTATATGAAAATATTATAAATAACTTTTTTTTAAAGATCTTTATTTATTTATTTGAGAGTAGAGTTACAGAGAGAGAGAGAGAGAGAGAGAGAGAGAGAAAGAGAGAGAAAGCTCTTCCCTCCATTGGTTCACTCCCCAAATGGCCACAATGGCTGGAGCTGCAATGATCCGAAGCCAGAAGCCAGGAGCCAGGAGCTTCCTCTGGGTTGCCCACATCGGTGCAGGGACCCAAGGATGTGGGCCATCTTCTACAGCTTTCCTAGGCCATAGCAGAGAGCTGGACTGGAAGTGGAACAGCTGGGACTAGAACCAGCGCCCATATGCAATGCTGGCACCACAGGCAGAGGATTAACCTACTGTGCCACGGCACTGGCCCATAAATAACTTCTTTAAAGTAGACTTCAGGAGAATAGGGAGGGCATGGCAGCTGTCATCACTGATACCGTGTCCCACTATTGAGCAATTTTGGCTCTTTGTGATAGTGTTGGAAAGATAAGATTTCCAGAAACATATTGAGGATTAATATTACCTTGTTGAAATAGCTTAAATGATAACAGCCATTATAAATTATAACCTAGTTGGGGCTGGCGCTGTGGCATAGTGAGCTGAGCCTCCACCTGCAGCACCGGCTTCCCGTATGGGTACCTGTTCATGACCTGGTTGTTCCTCTTCCGATTCAGCTCTCTTCTGTGGCTTGGAAAAGCAGTAGAAAATGGCCTAAATGCTTAGGTGCCTGTGCCATTGTGAGAGACCCAGAAGAAGCTCCAGGCTCCCAGCTTCAGATCAGCTCAGTTCTGGCTGTTGCAGCCATTTGTGGAGTGAACCAGCAGATGGAAGACCTCTCTCTCTCTCTCTCTCTCTCTAACTCTAACTCTCAAATAAATAATAAATTTAAAAAAGAATTATAGCCTAGTCAGACTGGGCATGGCAGCTTGCTTATTGGGCCTTAGAAAGTAATTTATTAAAAAGAATTTTTTTTTTTTTTTTTTTTTTTGACAGGCAGAGTGGACAGTGAGAGAGAGAGAGACAGAGAGAAAGGTCTTCCTTTGCCGTTGGTTCACCCTCCAATGGCCGCCGCGGCCGGCGCGCTGCGGCCGGCGCACCGCACCTATCCGATGGCAGGAGCCAGGAGCCAGGTGCTTTTCCTGGTCTCCCTGTTTTTTTGTAAATATAATTTTCCCCCAAAGAAACCATTTATTTAATGAGTACAGATTTCATAAGTACAGCTTTAGGAATATAGTGATTCTTCCATAATACCCGCTCTCCCACCCCGACTTGTGCCCCACTTCCTTCTCCCTTTCCCTTTCCCTTTCCCATTCTCCATTAAGAAAAACAAAAAACTGTTCCTTGACAGTCAAGACAAGGGCTGTTCAAGTCATTGCTTCTCAAAGTGTCAGTTTCACTTCTACAGATTGCCTTTAGTGCTCTATTAATTAT